GCATTTTCCAATATTTGAAATTCAGCCCAATGATATGGTAGTGGTGAACCTAGTGCTAATCATTACACCAATCAGGGTGGTATATACACAGCAATTCAAAATGAATGGTATAAAAGAAAATATATCTATGACTACTATGAAGAATTTATTTCTCAAATACAGAGGTAACATGAAAGTCTAATTTGGCAAGACTGAAAATTTTGCACTTTCTGAAATGCTCAGTAGAGTGCTGATATTCGAACTAGTGGCAGCAGACAAGGAAAATCAGTGTGTGGTACAGTATCCAAAAAATTCATCAATAAACATTGTTATTAAGTTGTCTGCTCACATGCTATATTGATTTTAGGGGCAATGTAAGTAGCAGGAATGTTTCCATCTCATTGTTCATGGATAGCCATGTGTTTTCCCCTTTTCATAAGCAGCCCCACTCTATTTCCTCTTGCACAAATCTGATTTGAAAATGTCTTTGAACAATTGTTATCCATAAAGTTTTTGCATATGCTATTGCACAATAAGCTTATTCTTTCAATGATGCTTCCGTGTGTTTGAATAGCATAAATGGTTTTCAGAGGGAAGGGACACTGTGGAAAATGATGAATGTCAAGGCATGAAAATTCTAGGCAATGTTGTCTTCTTCAACGTCAATGGAATTGTACTGATTGAGTGGGTTCCCAGTGGTCGGACTATTAATTAACACTACTACTTTGAAGTACTAAAAGACTTTGCGAAAAAAATTAGGGGAAAAAAAAAGGCCACAGTTGGGGAGTGATGGATGGTTGTTGTGCCAGGACAAAGCACCTGCTCACACGGCCCTATCTGTCAAGCAGTTTCTGACCAGCAAAAACATTACTGCAATGCTGCATCCTCCTTATTCACCTGATATGGCTCCATTTTATTTCCATGTGAGTGAGTTTTTTTATTTTATTTTATTTTAAGTTAAATCTTGCTTAAAGGGAACCCATTTTATCTCAGTTGAAGATGTTCAGGCAAAAATGGAGAATCTCCTGACAGGCCTTACAGAAACCTCATTCCAGAACTGTTATCAGCAATGGCATAAATGAATGCAGAATAGTGAGAATGCTCTGAAGATGATAATGCCACGGAGAACTGATTCTGTAAGTACAGTTAATTTATTGGACCAGTCTTTTTTTTTTTTTTTTTTTTTGTTTTTTTTTGTTTGCCACACCTCTTATAGTTTCTATAGATGTACTTATGGATATCATATGAATTTTTTTTTTCATGTAGTTATGTTCAAAACACAAGAAGATGACAAAAGAAATGATGCTATATATAATATGGTTATTGTAAAATAAGTTAAATACTGAGTTACATTTCATGGTACTGGCTTCAATCTCAAAGCCATCAGATTTCTGAGACCCATTCTTATAACACAATCAGCACATTCTACTTCCACATAAAATTCACAACATTTTTAATAATAGTATTATATAATGAACCTAAATGCAGATATCATTATTTTAACAATCAAAATTACAAAACGAAATGATAATATTATGCAAAAAAATTTCTTTCATTTTACCAACTCTAAATTACCTTTAATTTTAATTTTATATTTTCAGTAATTTTTATTTTTCAAAACTGTCAGTGTGTAATTTAATATTTTTTCACTTAATAATTTCAATTAAAAACAGTAAAAATTTGCAAAATGTTGCAGATATGCTGCACTCTTCAGAAATGCTAAAGACAAATTAAACTTACACATTTTTTTAACTCTTTATATACTCATAATCTCATAAATGTAATTATCAATTTTGATAAAATTTTTAACAATGACAATTTGTTCTGTTATTGTTAAAAATGGCAGAAAAAATTTTTGAAAAATTTACGGCATGAAGATATCAGATAAATTATGGTAATTATTTAAATTATGGATAAATTATGTTATTGCACTGTTATAGTAATTATCGTAAATTATTATAGCAAAATCTCATTTTTAAAGAAAGTTTTATGAAAAAATAAGAAAACAAAAAATAAATAAAAAAATTTAAAATCTGAAAGCTTTCGGATTTTATATTATGCCCAAAGGGCATTTTAACATTTTTTGTGTTACCTTTATTTAATAAATATCATGTTCTTCATACTTAAACCATAATATTGCAAAATAATTTCAAAATGAGAACATCTTTAAAATTTCTGATACAAAGTTTGGCACACTGGAGATAAAAATGCTTTTTTTTCTCCCCACCCCAGGCACAGTGTTGCCATTGCTCGCTTTGAAATTGTTGAGTTTGTTAACCAAAAATTCATTAAAATGTTACAAAATATGAAACTTCTAAGAAAACAAACTTCGAATTACAAATTAAGGCTTCCAGATGCCCATATTCGGTGGGAGATTACGTTATTCAAAATTTGATGGCTCTAGGTACCGTTGTTTTATCACAATGTGAGAAACATATATACATTTATGTAGATTATTCATTATTTAGTTTCTTTAAATATAATACAGAACAATAATATTTGGTGGTGACAACTGAAAAGTGAAACAACGCTTGTAGTGAATCGACTCAAAATGCCAAAACAAAATTAATAGTCCTTCCGGGCAAATTGCCTCTTTGGACTAATAAATAAGTAAAAATTCATATTGAGATAAACAGAATTAGTAAAATAATTTCAAGCTATTAAATAATCATAAACTTCATAATTAAAAATATGTATTAATCAACTGATTTCATAGTTAATAGATGATTAATTCTATCAAAAATAATTTATAAAACAATTTTAACAAATTTAGAAAAGGCCCAATAGTATTGCTAGTATTGTAAAAACATGCAATTTTGACACAATGAATACATAAATTAGAATGCAATCTAAATTATTTTGCACTATGAGTGATAAATTTTGAAAAGACAAACAGATTTACATACAAGGTACCTGTTATGGTACTGTTATGGTACCTGTTATGGTAGTCAAGGTCTTACACGCACGCGTAAAACGCCTGTGCGCATGTGCCAACGCGGCGCATGCGCAGAAAGTTTTTAGCTTTGAGGTCCGGATTATAGATCATTCCTGATTATGGGTGTCCGAATTAACGATTTTTGACTGTATTGTGTTTGTTAAATACATATACCTGGCATAATAAATACCTTGCTGTTAACTGTTGTGTATGTTGTATGACTTGAAAATAACTTTATGCAATGTAAAATTTGTGTGCTTTTTAAACTATCAAAGCATATTTTTTTTATAGTTGCCACTGATAAAACAAAATATTCTGTGAAAATAAAAATACAAAAATCACAATGCCACTTCAAAACCTACATTTGATTTAATTATTGCAGCAGAAAATTTTTAAAAATATAACAGGTTGTAGAAACTGATTTTAGAAACAGCAGCAGTTAGAATCAGTACATTTTAGAAAATGTATTAACTAAGAAAAGTTTTTCTTAAAAAAAAAAAAAAAAAAAAAAAAAAAAAAAGAGTAGCTATTTAAATTGCTACATTTTTAGAAATATAACAGTTTGGAGCAGCATATAATAAAATTTCAAGGGCATCTGAATGTGAAATTATGTGATTTTGCCAAAGCATCAATAATAATCCAGAACAGTAACGCAAGTTTCAGTTTTCAGTTACAAAATACTATCTTAGCTTTGGCAATGAAAAAAAGTTTTATTTACTATTTCTTGTTTTAGAAAAAAAATTTAAACAAAAAAGGACAGAAAAAATCTCCCCCCCCCCAGTTTGATGCAAAATGCATGTAAAACTCTATATTAGTTATTATAGTTTAATTTATTTATTATTATAGTCTATTTAGTTTTAAAGAAACAAGGTGACAAATCTTTTTTTTTATAACGGAAGAAGGCAGACCTATCAGCATAAAATCAGAAATATTCGGCATTTTATTACAATCTTGCAAAAATTTGGCAGTATTTTGTCTTTTTACAGCAATCTGGTACTCATATACATCTTAGTGCAGTTTACTACAACTATAGTCAAAAGTCGTTAATCCAGACACCCATAATCCGGACCTCAAAGCTACAAACTTTCTATGCATGCATTAACGCTACGCATGCGTGTAATACCTTTACGCATGTGCATATGCGTGTACGCAAGCGCATAATACGTTCACGCATGCGCGTTTAATGTATAACGGACGGTATAAGCTAAGCTAAAATTATCTTTATCTATTTCAGTTAATGTTGCAGATTGCGTTGTTCACTTAATCTTCTAGTTTGGATCCACCTTATTATTTTTTGCAGACTGTTGTTATTAGAGCAATTATTATAAAAGCTAAGCTTGGAACTTTCGACTATGTCGAAACAGAGTTTCCTGATGCTGGAGCTGCCAAAGGAATCTACAAAGCGAAAGCCATAGGTTTTCGATGTCCATCAAACAAAATGTGGCATTGCTGCAAAAAATGGATAAAGGCTCCTTTGTTTCTCTAACCATTCCGAAATCTGTTTATCAATTTCACACTGCTCTGCACAGGGGAGGGGGGGGACGTCACAGCGCGCAATGAACGGGAAGTTGATCTGTCAGCACTATCCTTATCTTCAGGGCAGATGTTTTTATTTTTTTTATTCGGCTTATAATTCCTTACTAAATGTAGTATTTCATCTCGATGTCTTCGATATGATTTAAATCAAATTCCTCGTCATTATAAATATCACGAATACAAATCAAACAGTTTTCTGGTTGCAATTTTCTGATTTTGGCTATGCGTAATGTATGCTTTACGCATGCGCGCGTTAAAAGAAATGTTTAATAAAGTAAACAAATAAATATTAAGCTTTTTTTTGTAAATTTTGATACCCTTTAGATCATAATTGCTCTTTATTTCATAAATTATGGTTTCATATTTTAAATTTTATAATTTCTGCATGCCATCTTACCAGATTTAAACTGATGATCTATAATCCGAAAAAATAGATAATCCGGAATCGCCGAAGTCCCGATGAGTCTGGATTAAAGACTTTTGACTGCATAAGAATATATTAAACATTTTAAATTCCAAACACATCTAGAATACATATGGTGTTACTTACATAAGATGTTTTGATTTCGGCATCCCAACAATCAGTTGCATAATGAGCCATTTCATTGGACATGTGTTGCCGAAATCTCAGTTTCTCTGAATTAATGCCTACTGCTATTAAGAACTGATATATTCTTGCCATAAAATAGCCTAATGTTTCATTAGCAACAATACCCTGAAATAAAATACATATAAATATTTAAAAAAAGTCAGATAATGAAATAATTACAAGAAACACAAATATATAACCAATAATTAAAGAATATTATATATTTGTCATGAAAACTCAAACATTTCTATAATTTCTCTGTCTTATATTTAAATTTACAGTCGCCCAGATGGTACAGTGGTTAGGGAAGCCTACTGCGATACCTGAGGTCATGGGCTCGGAATCCCAGAAAAGGCATAGTTTTAATTGTCTGTCCCTTCACAGGAGGCAATGGTGACCACCTATTAGGTGCCTCCACAATAAAATAGCCACTACTTTTGGCCTTATGATCGGCCAATGGGGAACAGGCAAGTGCCTGCCATTGGATTTAAAATAAATAAATAAAAATAAAATATTTAAATTTAGAAGGATTTTTCAAAACTATGAACCTTTTGTTAATTTACATATATAATTTAGCTCTTAATATTTTACATATATATGTAAAATATTAATATTGTATATTTATATAGAGAGAAAGAAAGCAATAACTTAATGCATCTTTCTTTATCTTTAGAAATATTTCCCTTTTTGCATCTTTATAATGTTCAGCAAAAAATGGTACTATGTCAAAAGTTTCTCACAATTTTGGCATCCTACCTAGTACAGCTATATTCAGGCACCATGTTGACCATAGCATATTTGACACATTATTAGCAGCAATTTCTAAAGTATGGCTACCAGAATAAGCATGTTTAAAATTAATTTTTGTTTCTATATGTTCTTTATTTAAATGCATATAAAATTGCATGAAAAAAATAATAAATATAAATTTATATTAAATTGCTTCTGTTTATGTAAATTTATTTTCAGATACAGTGAGTATTTATTCATATATACAGTATTAAGTGTGATGTATCTTACAAATATGGCAAAAGCTGCAGTCGAGACACAAATACAGAGTCTCTTTTCTAATTCTTTTGCTGTTATCATTTTTCTTCAGTGAGCCTAAAGTTTCTTCAATGATAGCATGTCTTGTGGGTCTTACTTTTTTTTTTCCTGTAGGTAAAATCACCTCTAAAAAATGTCTTTCTGCTAATGTTAGAAGAGCTGGTAAACATTTAGAAAGGCCCTTCCTTTATTTTCTACTCTTGCATACTTTCCAATAATGATAATATCAAAATAAAACTTCAAATTAATATTTTTACAGCCTTTTTTTATTTAATAATAGTATCAAAATCATCTAGTGAACTTTCACTACTCCCAAACTCTTTTACGAATACTCATTTATGCTTATTCTGAATCCTAGTCTGAATAGCAAGAAATTAGCTGCATACATTCTGAATTACCCTTTAATTTATGGTACAAGAAGAGCTTTAATTACTTGTATATCAATAAAGTTATTAAATCACTGTAAAATATACGTGAAAAGCTAAGCATTGAAAGATAAAAATTTACCAAGTTACATAAAAAAACATGAAACAAATACATACTTTCGAATCAATCGAAATATAACAAAATAGATTTAACAAATTACCATTTAATAGACATCTACTGCCATCCACATAACTAACTTGACATATAAAAACACAGAAAACATATGGGCAAAAAGTAAAAGCAACAAAGAAACGAGAATGCCCGCATAGCATATGGCCAAATCAGTAAAAGCCCGAACACAGTGTCTGTAAGGTGCACCGGTAAAATAGGCAAGTAGTTTAAAATACTTAGAAAACATTTTAGTATTAATGGAGATCCATCTGGTCTCAGCTCGTGAAATGCATGAAACTTTTAATCATCAAATAGCAAACCAAATTTACTATAGATTGCTCCCTTTAATCATGACTTCACCATTCAGCAAATCCTACATTTACTTTCAAATTTGTCTATTATTCTTGTATATGCTTCAATATTAACGAGAGAGAACAGAATCGGTTAATTTCAAATCAAAATGAATAATGCTGATCAATATAGGATTTTAAAAATATATAAAAATGAAAAAAAAAAATATTTAATTTCATTCATCTAATTTAGATACTCATCTCTGATAATTGTTATAAAAGACTTTTTAAAATAATCCACACTAATCTTCAAATGTTTAACTGGGAAATGGATAAACTATTTGTAACACTTGCAAAATTTCCTTTGGCTAATCCAAGAAGGTTGTTATTATGACATTTTATTTCTTACAGCCTTTGATTCCGAGTGCTTAATAAACAGAATCCTTTTGGTCAAGTATAATGAATAATGTAACTTTCTAAGAAATAATCAAACCATGGTAGCAACCCTGGTAGCCTTAAAAATTAAGCCTTTAAATGAGAGAGGGGAGAAACTCATATTCTAAAACACTTCACTGAAATTAGATTTTTGCCTTCCCCACAGAGATAAAATACGAAAAATTTTACACAGACTATATTTATTCAAAAGCTATTGACAGTAATATCAGTAAACAGGGTTCATAACCACATTTTAGTTAAAAAAATAAGCACCTATAAGCACTTTTCAAGCACATTTTAAGGAAAAAATAAGCACCTGTCTAATTACATTATACACAACTGCATAACCTTAAAAGAAAAATTAGACTTGTAATTTAAAATATGAGCAATGCAATATTTATTACGAGAATGAGCATTACCTCAACAATGGAAAACAATTAACTTTTTTTTTTTTTTTTTTTTAATTTTAAATGACAGTTCAATTTACAGAATTAGTTTACAATGAGAGAAAAAAAACTATGCAGAACTAAACTATATTACAAAATTTAATGATATTTCAGTTGAAAATATAGAAAATAAATAATAATAAGCCATATTAATTGTATTTGTTTGGCACCTAATAATAAATACAATTTATTTTTCCACTCATATTAATATTTAAATAATTTAACTTAAATCAAAATTCTGAACATTTTCTAAATTTTCATAACAGTTTTCCCTTAACATATATCCCAAGTAATAAAAAGGCACATTTCTGAAATCAGAAGACGGGAAATTGCTTCATGCAGTCATCCTTTAACAGTAAAAGCTTAACTAACCTGCATACTCGGAAATTCCCGAATATTCCGTATAGTCGAGCGTAACTGGAAAAAGAGGAGTGGGGGAGACTGTAGCCGTTCTTTACATTTAAATTTAAGCTAAATAAATGATTTTGACATTTCGATATGTGCATCATATAAAAACCAACGGAACTGAGAAATATTCTGCTTAGAAAGCACAGTAAAACTCTTTTAAGTGTTCATAAACAAATCTCAGACTGAACATCAAAATTAATTATCAATGCAAAATACCGCAAATGTTATTGCGCAATACGTGCGGCGTAATTCTTCCATATGTGATATTACGCAATCGGAATCAACACCTGCCGGTATTCGGAGAATAAAGAACTAAATAGAGGAAACGAAAGAGACTTACTAATCTGGGGTGTTTCTGATTCTAATTTTCAACAGACTGTATTAAATTTCCGGAATAGAATCAATCTTCGCTTGGGTTGGGTAGACTGCAAAACTTTTAGTCCTATTCAATCCAGATTGGACAGCGACAAAAAAAAGTCCGCTGCTTCAATATTAGAGATTTTGCAGAGAAACTCCCAAGCTCCATACTGTATGATGTATTGGCAAAGAAAATGAAATTATTTTGACTATTCGATTACTTTCCTTTTATTTAAGCCATTCCGAATATTATTCCTTAGAAAGCTAATCTGTGTAAAAACACACCCATTTTTGGAAGTTTATCTATACTTCAGCAGTTACTGCAACTATATTATTATAAATATTCATACATGTGCTCATAATATAAGCATAACGATCACAATAAACACGAATATGAACTGACCACGTGGAATGAGAATGCAAATTATTAAAATCTTGATAGAAATTCAAACATGTGTAGTATTTGGGTGGGAGGAAAAGAATACCAAATGTACCGGAATTTTCTACCATTTTCGCAATTCTTTGGCCAATAGAAAGACGTGCACCTGTCTGTACTCTCGCGCGGACCATAGGTTACGTTAATGCAGAGGAAGAGGGGGGAAAAGCAATTTCCGGAAGTATGATTCACCATCTGACGTAGCATATAAGGAAGAAAAGTTCTTTATTTAGTTTCGGCTTTGATACGGGGGAAAAATGAGCGTTCATTAAAAACAAAGGATTAAAAAAAAAGCACTAAAAGCAAAAAATAAGCACTAAAAACAAAAAAATCAGGGCTTTAAAGAAAAAGTAAGCACCTATAAGGGCCTTTATATTTTATTTTCAAATATAAGGACTTATAAGCACTTGTAAGGACCACTACGAACCCTGGTAAAGGGCTCCTCCTTAACCCTTTAATTGCTTAAGACGTGTTTAAACGTTTTCAGAGTTTCCTTTAAAAATGCTTAAAATGTTTACACAAATTTCCAATCGCATGAAAAATGTTTAAGATGTGTATACACCAAATGTTTAAGAGAAAAATGTTTAAGATGTCTATATCCATTAGAAAGCCCAAATTTGGCCAAAATTGCTTAAGATGTGTTTAGACGATGCAATCTGGTCTTCTTTTCCCTACCTTTCTGCAGGCGGCTGTCAGTTGGCACAAAGCTCTTAATAGGGTGTGAAGTCTGTCTGAAAAGAACACTTTACGGAAGAGTCCTGAGAATCAAGAATCATTGTCAGACAGCAGGTGTGTATTATCTTTCTGACGACTGCAAGCTTGGAAATGAAGATAAATCATTTTACAACAGTTTGCCTTGTGGTTATTTATACAAATGAAAGTCAAACAGAACCGCTCGTTGTTACAATACATTACCGAAATTTAGAAGAAACAGGAAAAAATAACAATTGTAACTTAAGACATACTTTTAAATAAACCATATATTATACAATGTATTAAAAGTTCACCACAATTTCTGATTCGCCAAGAACAGGAAAAAATATAAATGTTGCAAACACCTATTTGTTTGCTTTCATATTTCAAGTATGGGCGTTTTTAATAGTACATTCTTCCTTTTTTGCATTTTGAAATGTTAAAACTGTGCTTTCAGCATGCCTGATTTTTGTAGTCGTATATGTGGCTGTGTGTTCCTTATAAACGCGAACTGACATATAAAAATTTCTTGGATGTCGAAAGGAAAATATTCTACTCGAAAATTTCAATTAAATCGAATAAATTCATATGGTGAAAGAATTTCTACAAATATTTGTTTTTAAAAATTTTATTATTAAGATTTGAAATGTAAAATAGTTTTAAAATCTACGGAAAAAAGAATGCGTTTTTTGGAACGAAATCTACTGGTATAAAATCGCATAAAATTAACGGACAGTAAGTTAAGTAAAACAGTTAGTGTATGGAAGGATTACATATAATGCACACAAAAAAACTAGTCAGAGGAACCATTAGCTAATGAATTAAATTGATTACATTCGAAAAATTTTGTTAGAAAAAAAACCTCTCCAAATGTCTAATGTCAATGCTGATAGCAGCACTACAAACAAAAGTTATTAAGTTCCTAACTGAATTAATCCGTTGGTATTCAATAATGGTAGTTCAGTCTGAGGTTCGAATCCTGCAAACGGGCTGGCTGCATGGGCGTTTTCGTGGTTTTCGCCAAGTGTAACGTGTATGCGAGCCAGTATCCATTAGAAGTCCTCCACGAAGGCATTTTTCCTCTTAGGCAGATAGCCCTCGAGGCTTTGCCGTACTCACATATTTACTAAAAAGATTTTTTTTTTTTTTTTTTTTTTAATTATACTATATCCTGAAATCACCTAATTTTTTGTTTTCATAAATCAGATGAAAAATAAGTCACATTTGAAACCCATTCTTTTTCAAAACAGCTATACACATATAATCATAAAAATCTTTTTTTCCGCCCTTGAAATTAAGATATTCAGTTACCAAATTTTATCTCGCTGAATATTTAACTTTACTTAAAAGAGTATATTTGTATACATTTTTAAGTATATATTGTTCATTCAGAAAACAAAATTTTTCCGGAAAATAACATCCGTTTTAAAACCTAAGTAAATTTCAGCATTACATATGCCTGATAAGTTAAAATTTTGAAATCTCCTTAATATTTAAGTAGAGTTTATTTAAAGAGCAAGTTTAAAAGTCACATCAAGTTAAATTGATTAAATTTGGCAGAAAAAATAAAACAGATGTTTTTCAGAGTAATTATACAAATATTATGCTAAATATCTATAAAATATCTATCTATAAAATCTAATAAATATCTATAAATAAAGAAATTATTAAAAAAATTATCTGCAAGATTTTTAATTTATGACAAAAACATAGAAAATCAGAAATTATATCAAATGCAATCGAACTATAAATATTGTTTTTAAAATGTTTCAGGAATCTTGCAGAAAGAATGAATATTGCACCAGATATTTTTAATATGGATTTTATTAACAGCAGTTTAACCAATCTGCATTGAAATTCATATGATAATGAATGACTCAGAGATTTAGGTAATTTAGATTAAACATGAATTAAAAGAGAAACATAAAAAAAAAAAAAAAAAAAAAAAAAAAAAGAGCGAGTAAATTTTAAAACCAAGTTGTTTCAAAATAAGAGTCTTTTAGAAAAGAAAACTTTTAAGATAGTATTCGCATGTGTACCCTGCAGCATTCAGACAGTCATCACAGAGAAACTAGTCATTTGCAACTTTCTTGACAGCTCACATCTATGGGTACTAATATTTATGGTAGTAATCCAGCTCACTTACAGTCGCAACCCTTGATCAAGTATTCTGGGAGGGGAAAGAACTAACAATAGCAATAGCTGGCATTTTTCAGAGGTTTAGAGTTATTTTCCCGACATTTTAAGGGAAGCTTGGTCCAAAATTAGTGACATTTTTAAAGGTATTTGTAGAAAATCACTCGACCGGCTAAGGGTTAAAGCAGTTTTAATTTCCTGACCAAATGGAGCAATTTTCCTGACTAGATATAAATTACTGGGCCTCAAATTAAATATAGATTGTTTAACAGTTTTATACATTTACTACAAACAGCAATGCAATAACTAAGAATGTTATATAAATTCATCTTACTTAGTACTGTGAAGAAAACTAAAATATATATTTGGGATATGTATTTAAACCATTTAAAAAAGTAAGCAAGGTTTATGGAATAACAACACACCATTAGTAAACATTATTCCTTTAGGACTCTACAACAAAACTCAGAATTACACTGGATTGATAATATTCTCAATTTTTGTAATTATTGATCATAACATGATATCATACACTGTAATCGCTGTAATAACTTCTTAACTACATTTTTACTTTTTAAGAGTAATTACACTTCGGAAGAGGAGACAAAAAAAAATTACATAAAACAGCACATTAACAAGTGCGAAATAAAGCTTTGTGATTTAATTTATAAAATAATATCAGATATGGGAGAGAATACTTTCTGCAAGCTGTTTATTTGCCATCTTTTTTATGTGACAATTCTTGTTTACTGTATCCTATTTAAAATATGATCTCTTTAAATGTGATTTTTTCTCGACATTTTTCGAAATAAGTTTATATTTTCTATGATTATTTTCCATTTGCTCGACTTTTCAGGATTTTCCAGGTGTGGGAGAACCCAACATTAATATGTAAATTAAAAAAATAAAAATAATTATTATTATGATAATAAAATTGGTAAAAAATTGCAAGAATGAGAGGAAGCATGGCATAAAATTCCAAATAGGTGATAAAAAGAAAAATTTTAAAAAATTTACTTTTTCAACAGCATCTCCTATTGTTGTTAAAACAGCAGGTACTCCATCCATTTGATTGCATGCAGAATACAACATTAACTTCAAATCTTTCACTTTAATGAATTTTGGATGTTCCTTATGCCTTGCATCTACAAAATGCTCTATTTCGGCCATCGTAAACTCTCTAGAACAGCCAAGAAAATAGGTATAGTGACAGATATCACAGAATACATAAATTTTAATATTAAATATACAAGTAACGTTAATCACAATTCCTATAAGAAAACAGATTGAAATACATGCATTGTAATATACAGAATAGCCCTACCATGAAATCTGCTTTTGTTTTAACTTATACATCAAGAAGTTAAAAAAAAGGGGAGGTAGTATATGATGAAACTGTTATTATACTAGGTTATATTTTCCTGGTGAAAACTTTTCCTCTGACAAAACATCTTCAGTGTTTTGCTATTCTCCAGATACCTATTTCTTATGAACTAGATACTAGTCTGAAAGTCATCCGCCTTCTCATTTAGCGCAATTTATTCAGATGCAGAGACTAATACTTTAATTTAGATGAACGGAACTTGGAGATAAAGAAATCTCTTTACATCAAACTGCTTATGTCAAAAATATATTTTATTGCCAAAAGGCACCAACATATTGTTGGCAGCTAATACACAAATAGGAGTGGGTACTGTCTAATTAATGCACACATATTTCTAATGCTACAAGTAAAAAATATAAAGAATTCCAATTTAAAAATTATTTATAATAAACTTATAAACAATTATTCATAATACAAACTTTTTAATTTAAAATTCAATACAAAGAATGCTAATTAAAGTAATAATAAGTTTACAACAACAGAATATATTTGTTTATAATAATTCATTCTGAAATCCTGCAAAGCTCATGAAAAAAAAAAAAAAAAACTATTCATCTACATGCATACAATCTACAAATGACCTTTAAACATTGAAATTTTTTTAAAAAGAATGCAATAATAATTTTTACTTACTATATATTTTCATGTATACACCTAGAATTTTTGGCAGCAGAAATTAGGCAGTAGGCTTAGATACTAGTTCGAATCGGTTTGCATATAATTTGATCATGAAAAGGAAAATTTTAAAATTTAATAATAGAAAAATTTTACTATTTTTTTTATTTAATCCTAATACAGTCAAAAGTCTTTAATCCGGATGTCCATAATTCGGAATGATCTATAATCTGGAATGCGTTTACGAACGCGCATAATACGTTTACACATGCCTGTTTAATGTATAACGGACGGTATAAGCTAAGCTAAAATTATCCAATTAGCTATTTCAGTTAATGTTGCAGATTGCGTTGTTCCGTAATCTTTGAATTGGATCCGGCTTATTATTTTTTGCAGATTGTTAGAGCAATTTTATAGAAGTAAGCTTGAACTTTCGATTATGTCAAATAGAATTTCCGATGCTGGTGCTCCCAAAGGATTTACAAAGCGAAAACATGTTTCGATGTCAATCAAACAGAAAATGGAATTGCTGCAAAAAATGGATAAAGGCATATCCTTTGTTTATCTAACCATTCTGAAATCTGTTTATCAATTTCACGCTGCTCTGCGGCGGAAGGGAGGGAAGCGCCGCGGCGCGCAATGAACTGGAAGTTGATCTGTCAGCACTATATTCATCTTCAGGGCAGATGTTTTTATTTTATTCGGCTTATAATTCCTTACTAAATGTAGTATTTCATCTCAATGTACTCCGTCTTTGATATGATTTAAATCGAATTCCTCGTTATTATAAATATATTTCACATTTCAAAAGATTTTGATTTATTTTAAAATAATTTTTATAAATTTTTTGAAAAACATTTTGAATTACAACCTATAAAAGTTTTGCCATCATCTTAAAGTAGATGTATTTCTAAGCATTCCTGCAAAAAATTAGAGTTCTTTATTCAAAATTTCCCAAGACATATGTGAATTTACATTTTGGCGCATTTAGAAATTTGGCATATTTATTATAAGTGATAATAACGAAAATGTGGTTTATGCACTTGGTTTTGAAAATATGAATGATTACTTTTTCCCCTCTAGTGGACATTAAAAGAAAGGAAAAGGAAATAAGGTTGCGATAAATTAAGACGTTCGCCGCGTGAATTATTCTTGGCGCAAACTGGAAAAAATTTACCAATATAAATTTTTAAATTTCTCACAAAAAATTACAAAATTTAATATCTAGGCATAATATGAGTCATAGAATCAAAATATGGAAAAAAAATTAGCATGTCATTTAAAAAAAAGTCGGATTTTTTTTTTTTTTTTTTTTTTTTTTTTTTTTTTTTTTTTTTTTGTCAAAATACCTATGTTAGAACAATGCCATATATAAATCTAATATATACCCTAAGTCGCGCTTTTGAGACATAGAAAACGCAATTTGAATTTTGTCAATTGGCCCAGCAGAACGGGAGATATAGAACTGTCCCCCCTTTTTTTAAACACAGTGTACATCGCTGACAGGACCAAAATTTTGTTTATTTTTAACCGAGTGTTTGCCTTAAGTGAGTTTGTGTTAAGGGGGTTTACTGTACATGGTTATTTTCAAAACACAGAAAATTTCCATTGCCATCATAATGTCACAACTTGCATCTTCTTTAAAAACTTACCTGACTCTTATGAGACCGGTTCGAGGAGAAATTTCATTTCTAAAAGAATTTCCAATTTGCGCAGCAGCAAAAGGAAGCCTTCCTTGATTGAACTGCAAAAGACGCTTGAAATTTACAAAAATACCTTGAGCTGTCTCAGGACGCAAATACCTAAGATCAGAAAAGGAAACAAAATTATAAGATAACTTATAAATTAATATATACAAATGCATATGCTAGGAAAACAGCAAAAGGTAGAAATGCTAGTACCTTCTGATTAATGGGACACCAGTCAAAAACTGTACACAATGTAAAGATAAATAATCTTAATTTTTATTTTCATCCTTTATATTTTTTTTCTCATATATATTTACAGGGTTGCCACTCAAACAGGGGAATGAAATTCCGACTTTTCCAGGTGTGTTTCAAGAAAATTCCAGGCTATCTGTGTAATGTGCATTGGCTGTACTAAGGCTAGATTAATTACGGTACCACTTGAAAACACAAAATTTTTCCAATTACATATGACAATTATAACTATAACAGGAACAGTTTTCTAAACTGAGGACTGAGGTTAGAATCTGCCCAATCGGGATTAAAAAAAAGCTGACATTTTACAGCTAAAGGAAATCTATTTAATGTTGTTTTAAAATAAAGTATTTTATATTTATTTAGCAGCATATATAAGTAAAAAAATATGTGAACTAAATTTCATGATAGTATGGTATCATACTGCTAGAATTAGTTTCACAAGTATGTCAGAGAAAATTTCCACAAATTTGAAAGTATTATTAACTAATAACAGATACATTTAGAAGGAAAAAGTCACATTAAATGATACGAATAACATTAAAATACTTAATATTATTAATACGAATGATATTAAAATAAAGTGAATTACTTAAGGATTAAAAACTGAATTACAAAAATCGAAGGTACTTTGGCAGATACAGATATATTAAATGGTTAGACTAGATGACTGATGATTATTTTTTTTTCTATTATTTTACTGCAAAATGACAAATAAAGCACTTAAGAAAAAAGAAAAGATTTGAAAGATTTTGTTTTATATGAGAATTTACTTTCATTCAACATGCATTGCATATGTGCATGTGAATCTCTGGATTTTTGATGTTACTGAAAGATGCTGGAAACTTGTGTTGCCTTTCTAAAATACAATCTGATTGGTGCTGCAAAAATTGGATCTACACCAGCTGTCTGAATGATGCTCATCTGATGCATGATTTGCCAAGAAAGTGATTGCTTCCTACATTGGTACGAAAATCCCCTTTTGAAAGATCACAGTATGAAATTCCCTGACATTTTGGTCAATTTTTGAATTCCCTGACTTTTCCCAGTTTTCCATGTAGCATGGCAACCATGTATTAAGGATTTAATAACATGGGTATTTTCTTCATGAAGCCATGTATATATTATTTGGGTTTACATTTGTATCCCCCCATCAGATTTGATATCAACATTTATATCTGGTAGCATGTGGCATCCCATTAACTAGAACGTACCAAAATTTCTCATAAATAAATGACAGAAAATATTCAGTCACTGATTAAGCATAGTTCAAAAGATGGTCAAATGAATAACCATAGTCCAAGTTAAATTTCTCAGAAAGCTGATCAAGTCCTTCACACTGATGTGTATGAGCCAATATAGTATATAAATCAAATAAGATACAAATCCATCAATCCATCAAAAAATATGATGACTATCCAGGCTAATGGCAGATCTCTAATTGAATCTCCATGATATCTGCTCAAACTACTAGGCATCCGAAACTCATTGTAGTGCAAACACAACTAAGAATTTAACTATTTATATTTAAAAAATTCACACTCAGCTCTACTTGCAATCCTTAACAAGAGTAATCTGAAAGCCCAACTTCTCTAATAGGATAATATTAAGGAAGTTAGGCTCTTTAAAGTTTTAATATGTTGTTGTATGATAAATTTCAGTGGATATCCAAATCATGGCTAGAAGATGCAACCGGTAGCATTTTGGCCTTGCACTCCCTGCCCTCAATGTTCAAATCCCTATGCTAAACTTTTTCTTCTATCACCTCATTTGAGGGGGGGGGGGCTTCAGCAAGGTGCAGTACATTTTGGAAACTACAGAGTTGTTCAAAAGAATAAACTGACCTCATGGATACATTTTTATTGCAGAAAAGAAGTGAAAAAAGGAGCAAAAAGTATTCTACTGATAGTGAAGTTATATTTCATGTCCTACAATGTTTCAAATAGGTTAAGGGATCATTAGCTTACAACTAGTTTTAGTTGTGAACTCCTGAGAGCTCCATTGGGTGCCTTCTGGATGTTTTCCACTATTTTCTTCGAAACTTACAACCACTGTGGATGTATTCCTTTATGCAGATGTGAAAATTATCAAGCTAGTGCCGAATGTTTCCAATATAAAAAATGCAGAATGTTTTTCTACTTAGAAGCCACTCTTCCAAGCATATAAACAAGCAGTTGGACACTGAGATAGGATCACGCATCCAAAATGGCTTGCTGGCAACTATTCAAAACTTAGCCTGTATTCTGATAATGTTTTATCACATACCTTTGAATGAGAATCTTATTGAGTTATCTTGCAACAACAGGCTGAAAGCAAAATTTGGCAGCATGAAATTGACAGAATTTTGGATTTCAATGAAAGACAATGTACATTTCAAAGTAATAAGACTCTGTGAATTTTAACTTCATTTTTGATGTTGTATTTGTGTGAAACTTGGTCGGCAGTCATTGTAATAAAAAGCAGTTTAGAACAGAAATCAGTATGGAAAAGGAAATGTAGCTGTGTCCAGTTTAAGTGAACTACAGACTCATCTATCACATCAAATATTAATTTACTGTCAAAAAAGTTAAAAAAATACTAAACAAAATACACAAGTTTTATTTATTTGTATCTCTTACTTGTAATTAGTCATGGTTTTACTTAGGGTAAGTAAGGTACTATGGAACAATTTCAATTGAAAAGAGGTATCACAGCTCGAACGGAGTTTGGGAACCATTGGCTTATACATTTGCAATGTAATTAAATTAAGAGAAAATTTTAAAAGATAATGGCTAATATATTTGACTAAGCAATTAAATTAATAGATTTTGTTATTTAGATGCTCTCTGTTTTTATTATTTGTGATATAAAATTATGGATGAATTCTATAGATAGAACGGTTTAATCTATTATTCCTACTAAAATCTTTGATAAATTATTTTCTCATTTTAGTGCATGAATCATCATTTTAAATAAAATATTCATTTTAAATTAAAGCTTCCACAAAGCTTTCTATAAAAGCCTTTTCTTAAAAATTCTATTTTGTTTTTTGCTTTTTAGTCTCAATTACACATTATCAAAGATGAAATTTTGAGTTAGTAAAACACAAGCAATAAATTAAAAAAAAAAAATATGAAATAAAGAAAAATAACTAAACGACATTCAGGGAATGAAAAAAAATCACTTTGAATGTTCAGTTTCAGAAACTGGATATAAGATATTCTTAATGAGCATTTTACTTGAAGCTAAAATAAGAAACCAAGTATTGCAAATTCGTCAATGAGTGCACAAAGATGGCAAACTTCTTCATTCAGTGTGCCAAGATGGCAAAGCCAAAAGCAAATTTTGTAAAAGAAACACTTTTCTTGTTGTATGTTTCAGGAAAATTTTAAAACAAATTTTTAAAAAATTGAAAATCGCTCAATTAATATTTTGTTATCATTCTTGTTTTAAAAAGAGAGCAAAAAGTTTATTTTATAATCTGTGAAAATTGCAAAACTTTATATTCAATATATTTTTAGATGCTGAAATTTTAAAATTATAAATGTCAAACAGTCTAAAAATTGAGCAAGTTAAAAAAATTCAAAAATTAGGTTTTAATTTTTATAGAAGCTTCACTGAAAAGACTTTTTTCCCCACTGCATTCCATGGTGGTGATAGTGGGGAATCAAAAATATTTATGCTTAGTTCATTCCTTAAAAAAAGATATGTGCAAAAAGTCATTTAAACATTAAATTAAAAAAATTAAAATACTATATCACAAAAATTAAGGGAAATATGAGCAAATAAAAGGTGAGGAAAATTATACAGCAGTTCAGATGATGAAAGAAAGGTCACTATTTTGAACAATTTGATAACACTGCTTCTTTATTGTGCTCTTCTAATCCATTTAAAAGATTTCTTGACCAGGTGAGTATAGCTCAAAGGGATAATACTTCGGACATGGCATACTTCTTTCAGAACTGCTTCAGCTTTCTTGTTTATTTTGCTCTCCACAACAAAAAAATTTATTACTGATCAGTATGGAAAAAGAAATGTAGCTGTGTCCAGTTTAAGTGAACTACAGACTCATCTATCACATCAAATATTAATTTACTGTTAAAAAAGTTAAAAAAATACTAAACAAAATACACAAGTTTTATTTATTTTTATCTCTTACTTGTAATTAGTCATGGTTTTACTTAGGGTAAGTAAGGTACTATGGAACAATTTTAATTGAAAAGAGGTATCACAGCTCGAACGGAGTTTGGGAACCATTGGCTTATACATTTGCAATGTAATTAAATTAAGAGAAAATTTTAAAAGATAATGGCTAATATATTTGACTAAGCAATTAAATTAATAGATTTTGTTATTTAGATGCTCTCTGTTTTTATTATTTTTGATATAAAATTATGGATGAATTCTATAGATAGAATGGATTTAATCTATTATTCCTACTAAAATCTTTGATAAATTATTTTCTCCTTTTAGTGCATGAATCGTCATTTTAAATAAAATATTCATTTTAAATTAAAGCTTCCACAAAGCTTTCTATAAAAGCCTTTTCTTAAAAATTCTATTTTGTTTTTTGCTTTTTAGTCTCAATTACACATTATCAAAGATGAAATTTTGAGTTAGTAAAACACAAGCAATAAATAAAAAAAAAAAAAAAAAATATGAAATAAAGAAAAATAACTAAACGACATTCAGGGAATGAAAAAAAATCACTTTGAATGTTCAGTTTCAGAAACTGGATATAAGATGTTCTTAATGAGCATTTTATTTGAAGCTAAAATAAGAAACCAAGTATTGCAAATTCGTCAATGAGTACACAAAGATGGCAAACTTTGTGCACTCATTGATGAACTCATTGACAAAAAAATGAGATATACATTCAACAATCAATATTAATTTCCGTAAATGGTACAAGAATTAATATTGACAGCAGAATTTTTCTGTAATATCCTAATTCAATTATACAGCAAATTATCAAAATTCATGTTATTCAAAGCTTCTGCTCGAATTAGTTTTATTCAAAAGCCGAGAAGTATCAGAACTAGGCTTTGACTGAATAACTGCCAGAAATTCTGTGACATTTATGTGATGCCACATTTGAGAGATCCTAGCTCCCTTGCACTCAATATGAATAATTTTTGTATATTCAACACATAATCTCTTAAGATTACAAGAAGACAGTCGTCTGGATCGTTAATTTGATTAATAACAAGGTAAGAAATATCTTTCAGTAATAAAAGGAATTATTTCATACCCTTTAAGATTTCCAGTAGGACCTATTGAGGTACTAAACATGAGATTAAATTCCATAGCATCCGATAAATCATTTCCGGTATTTGGAGATTTCACATCAAACCTTCTCAGCAAAGCATTCATTTCTTCTTTGGAACATCCATCCAACTAATTTAACACAAGAAAAGACAAATTTCATAACAAAATATTTCATATAAATTATACGTTTTAGCAATCTGAAATACATAGCTGCCCATAATTTATCTGTCTTGCTATGAGCTACAATGAAATATCAATACAGTTCAAATGTCTATACTTTGTGCTCCTTTTCAATATCATAAACATACACACACCAAAAAAAAAAAATTTTTTTTTTAGAAAATTCAGAATAATAAATTTAATGGCCTTTTTTATTTTGCATATAAGCAAAAAAAGTTTTGAACAATAAAACATTATCACACATTTTTATCAAAAAAGCTAGTATCTAATGCACAAATATCAGCATGCTTTTCTGGAATTCAATATAGATCATGAATTACTGCAAACCTTTCCTTTCAGATACATCTCATTTTTGAGTGTATACAGGTATATACCAAAATTTCTTGCCTACTGAAGTACTCCAAGATTACACTGAGGAATAAATTATTAGAAGGTTTTTTTTTTTTTTTTTTTTTAAGAAACATATCAGGCCAGAAACTTCTGGATCTCCCTATGTACATTCTGATGCCTTCTAAAACTAATATTAAGTGATTAGCATATGTCAGAATTTATTTGTTTACAAATTTTAGCACTGAATTTTAATTTGAATGCACTTTGTCACCAATATTTTTATGTTCTACACAGCTAGCAAGGTTTTTAAAATCACTAGCAAAGAAAGAAAGATTATTAAAAACAGTTGCAGAATTTTCTACCTTTGAAAATGGATAAAGAAAATAAAGCTAAAAAACACTGATATTTTTTTTAATAATCCAAAACTTAAATTCTGGTATTTTTTTCAAGTTACTTATTCTAATTGCACGTGCATGAAATATAATGGCAAAATTAGCATAAGGATTCAATTTGGAGACCTTACTCTTTCAATTTTGTACACAGTACATATTATATGTTTTTATGAAAGAATTTTTTTATTTTCTTAAAAAATAAAGTTATATTTGTATTCAATACATCTTGATTAAATAATTCTTAAGTTATGAGTACGTTTTGGTTGCTACTCATGTGCAAACAGATGAGCAAAATTTAAAGTAAGAATTGAAATGGAAAAACCAACAAAGAAAAAAGGCAACAGAAAAAGATGATCTACAATTCACAAAATTCTCTAACCAATGCAATCTCAGTCCAAAGAAGTGCAGATTATCAGAATTATACCGAATAGTTTTCTACATATTACATGAGTAACAATAAATTTTATTAAGGAATTAACAAATTTCAGTAAAATCCCATTTACAATGAATAAAAATTCCAAATATTCAACTGTCTACTACATCTACCTCTGCAAGAGTGAATTATGAAGTCCTACATTCAAGGTTAACAAATCTGTATGCTCATAAAATATATACTTTCTACAGTAATTATACCTAGAGACATATCAAAAAAAAATTCTCCCATCTAATCAATAAACATGTACCAGGATGTATGAAATCAAAAGGTTATTCAAGTACCTTGAAATAATGAGAAGTATCAAATTTAATGATGAATGAATATATTGCACCTAAAAAACTAGAAAACATACGATAACAGTTTCTAGTTTTTACAATTTTTCACCATCAAAATAAGAAATAAATGAATAACAAACTACCTAAACATAATTTTCTAGTTTACTTCACTAAAATATAATTTTCACTTTTTATACCTTTACAATGATGTCTTCATATTCTGCATACTGCTCAGGAGTTATATTTTTGTCTGTCATCAACTTTTCCAAATGAGCTGTAATAATAATGGATAATTATTATTAGTAAATGGAAATTAATAATTAAAGCAAACATTACTACATAAAAATTAATAGAAATTAATAAACAAAGCAATCATTGTTACACACAAAATGCAAAGAAACGAAGATACTATCACATTATCTGCCCAACCCTGACAAGAATGACTAGGCAAAACATATTGCCTATATAGGCAACCCAGAATTTTACAAAAATGTATTTATCTGACAACCCACTACAATGATTATGCATGCATTACACCAGCACATAACACTATCATCCATCTCAGTACTAGTGGTAATGTGTATAGTTTTGAAATTTGAGGGTCATTGCAGCAACTGTGGTTCCTGTTTATATGTGGAGTTTTGTTTTAATTGTTAAGGAATTATAATGACACTGTGATGTTTGCTTGCTAACGGGAAGAAAATGTTGAATTTTTTTCAGTGGCATGGGATTTTAACTAGTAGTAGAGAATGTAGGAATGTGCATTCCATGAAGTTAATTCATGTAATTCTCAGCCCCCCCCCAATGTGTACATGGATGACACAACAGAAATAACGACCTAGTAATTTTGTGTAAATGCATTTTACTCAGCATAATAATTTCCTTCAGTTACAGTTACATGTTCCAACGAGTTACAAGCTTCATAATCTGGTATTGCTAAAAAGTTTGCTCAGCAATGCTAAAAATCCTGCAGTTCTCTGAATTTTTTTATGTTAAAACAAATTGCTGTGCACATGGGCAGAAGAACAGGAAGAAAAAAAGTTAAGTGCTTTATTATGCATGTTTGTTGCATTTTTAATTTAGTTAATTTGTGTCTGTTTTATGAAACTCTTAGTGTTTTATCATGAATATTTCTTGCATTTTTAATTGTGTTAGTTCAATGCTGTTTCATGTAATATTCAGCATGCTGCCATTTTTTAAATGGTTATTGTTTTTCACATGTTAAAGCTGTCAAAAAATTAGTTGTCAACAACTGCCGATTTTAAGGGAGGGATAGGCATATAACATGAATGTACTGAATTAATTTTAATATATACAGTACAAAGTCCATAATCTGGACACATCAGGACTTCGGCGATTCCGGATTAGGGGTTTTTCCGGTTTATAGATAATCAATTTAAATCTGGTAAGATGGCATGCAGATGAAACCGTAATTTATGAAATAAAGAGCAATTATGATCTAAAGGGTATCAAAATTTACAAAAAAAGCTTAATATTTATTTGTTTACTTTATTAAATTTCTTTCAGTGCAAGTTGTTTAAGTTGCTTCGTTTTTTTGTGCTAATACTTTCTCTTTAACTCTATAAACAAACATCATGCCTTCAGTTACAAAGTTCCACTGTTCAAGTCCTGTAACTGCTGCGTCGAGAATACCGACTATCGAAATTTTTTCGTTTTCTATAACCTCTCTGTCACTTTCTTCACTATCGGAAGCAGTATGGCAATATTTCAGAATTGGAAACTCTTTTTGACATAATCGAAAGTTCAAGCTTAATTTTTATAAAATTGCTCTAACAGTCTGCAAAAAATAATAAGCCAGATCCAATTAGAAGATTAAGGAACAGCACAATCTGCAACATTAATTGAAATGAATGCCTTAGAATCAGTAAAGATAATTTTAGCTGAGCTTATACCGTCCATTATACATTAAACGCACATGCGTAAAGCATACAGAAAAAAATTTTGTGGCTTTGAGGTCCGGATTATAGATCATTCCGGATAATGGACATCCGGATTACAGACTTTGTACTGTATATATATATATAGAGAGAGAGAGATATCAAGTATACAAAAAAGTTTGTGCCATAGTTTTCATTCAGAAATAACAACCTAGTAATTTTGTGCAAATGATTTTATTCAGCAAAATAATCTCAGCTTCAATTACGTCTTCCGATGAGCAACAAGCTTAGTAAAAGTTCTTGTCTTTAGAACCAAAAAATTATTCTGCGGCCTACATGGCATCATCTTGGATTAAGAACTGTTGTTAGTATCAAAACCAAGTGGTAGTCATATGAACCAATGTTGTATGTTGATCGCCTCCTTAGTCACTTTCACCGTATGAAGTCGTATTCTCTTGAAAAATAATCATTCCTTTCCTTCTGACTTAATGCTGGCTGCCTCAGATGCAGTGCATCTGCAACCTTTGCAACAATCAGAGGTACACCTCAGCTGTGGTTTTGCCACTCTCTAGCGATTAAAAGGGCATAACACCAGCAATGGTCCAGAACACACAGAGCAGTATCTTCTGCTAATGGAATGTTTTGTTTAGGGGCAGATGCCATAGAACCAGGGGATGGTCAATATTATTTTCTTATGTGATTACTGTGCAAGACCCATTTCTCATCATATGTCAATACCTGGTCAAACAATAAGGTTTTCTGGTGGGGTAACAGTAATGAAGAGGAAACGGTGCACTGCTGGAGTTTTGTTTCCTTCCTCAGTTGAAACATGAGGAATCCACTTACTGAGCTTCACGTCTTTCAAAAGATGTGCAGATGCAATCAAATGGTTTCCTCCGACATTCCAAATCCTTGTTCAAGTTCCTTGCACATTTGATGTGGATCATGCTCAATGTCCTTCTTCAGGAGGCTTCATCGATAGTGGATGGATGCTCAATTCTTGTACTGAAGGTTTTTATCTCCTAATGCAAATCCACTAAACAGTGAACCACATATCCTAGTAAATGTAAATTCACTTCATAGCCAAAAATGGGCTGCACTCGAGAGAGCATTAAAGAGGGGGGGGAGAGAAAGTAAAAAAATAATGAAAAGAACAAAGTAAAACACATAATCGCAAGCACACACACATTAAAAAAAAAGAAAAGAAAAGAAAAGAGAAAGAGAGCTCTAACTTTGAATTCTGATTCTATTCTTATTATTGTTTATAATTTTCATAACATCCCATGAAATTTTAATATTTCTCTTAGAGTAATAATCACGTTCGCTGGTGATTTCAAAATCTTATTGGAGACCAACAGTTAATTCAAGATTTCAAAAATGCATAGTATCACATACTACATTACAAGTTTCACAGAATGAATTGTTCTGAACATCAAATCTTGATAAATATTGTGAGAAGCAGCCATGGCCCAAAACAAGCTGATTGAAGTTGATATCATTCACGATTTTCATTTTCTTTTTCCCTTTTAAAAGTAAGAGATCTTTATTTCTGTACAACATGTATTCCAAGATTCCAGTATATTTTTGAACATAACGGAAATGGCCTTTTGTCTTGAAACTGGAATATCAATAGCATAATCAGCATATCTGTAATGCGTGTCATCCCGACAAGGTATCTGACACCTTTCGTTTGAATTTCATTTTTCGCTCCAGTGGCACAAACTTCTTTGAGTACCTGATATATATGTTACCGGCAAAGTATCAAATATCGGCATTCTATAGCATGCCTGGGCATTGTACACTGTGAAAAAAAAGAGGGGAAAGTTCTATATCTCCAATTCTACTGGGCCAATTGACGAAATTCAACTTGCCTTTTTCATGTCTTGAAACCATGACTTAGGATATTAGATTTGTATATAGTGTTGCTCTATGATAGATATTTTGACAAAAATCAAACTTCTTCTGAAATAACACACCAATTTTTTTCCATATGCAGATTCTAAGACTTATATTATGCCAAACTGCCAAGTTTTGTTAAAAATTGCATTAGTAGTTTTTAAAAAATTAGCTGTCAAAATTTAAGCTCTTCCATGTTAATTGAATTTGGTATATATTTATTAACAACTCTTTTTTTCATTACACTTATTTGATTCTTCCTTTCATTTTTCGAAATTTAGGTTCATTACAAATAAAATTCACTCATTTTTTACGATTTATTTTTAAAATTTGGATTTTTAAGTAAATTTTTCGAAAAAAATTTTGAATTATAACCTTTAAAATTTTTTAAATCATCTTATTAGATTTATAAGATGTATATAAGTAGATTTATTTCTAAGCATAAATGCACAAAATTAGTTTTTTGGTACAAAGAATAAAAAGCTTATTGCAGATGTAACCTATTTTCAATTTACTGGGAGCAGATAAACCCAGCTGCAAATTAAACGCCCCCTGCCCCATCCCATTGCAGAAAATTTATATCATAGACTGTCAAAAAACAAATTTTATGCACATTTTTATGCTATTTATAACTTAGTTCCTACTGATGTTTATTCTTCTGTAACTTCCGGAGAGTTCTTTTTGTTTTGACTATTGATTTAAATTATGTAATTAAATGAATCTGTCCTCCAGATTAAACTACTTGAATACAACAGTAACTTTATTAACAGTATTGTTCTGTTCATAATACGGGTTATTTCTCTAATGTGCTTTTTAAATTTCCCTTCGATTAACTGCGATTTGAATTAACCAAAGATATTTTCCTCTAAATGGGGAGTTGAACGCATATTAATGATAGGAGAACGAAATATACTTTCTTTGTTCAGAAGCAGTTCGATCAAGATTCAAATCTCTGTGAACAGGCTTGCTATATGCCATTTTTCAGTGTTATTCTCGCATATAACGTGGCTAAAAGGCAGTTTTCTATAAAAAGCATTCACGGTGGCATCAGGCTTCCCTTTCCATAGACAGATAGCCCCTCGAGTAACTTTGCTTACATCAGTAACCATTTAGGAGTGTAATGCTAAAGGCACAGTAGTACTCTACAGTTTGCAGCTTGGCCTGACCAAGTTTCCATTGATTGACTAATATTTCAAAAGGATGTTGGCATTGAAAATATGATGCACTCCCTGCACAAAGAAAGGGGGGCAGTTCTATATCTCTTGTTTTACTGGACAGACTATCAAAATTTAGCTTGCGTTTTCCATGTCTTGAAAAGCAGGACTTCAGTTATATATTAGATTTATATATAGAAGTCTTCTAAGATAGGTTTTTTTGACACAAAATCGGACATTTTTCTGAAATAACAATACCAATTTTTTTCCATATTTCGATTCATAGACTCGAACTATACTAAAGTGCTAAGTTTTGTAAAAATAAT